CATGGAGAAGATGCTTTCTCACAATCGAAATCCAAAGAAACATCCCCAAATTGATACCGATACCGTCTCTCTTACACCAGCTTCTAGTATTCTTCCCCCCGTTCATTCACCCGTCATCCTTCGTCCTCCATCTATTCTTTTGCACAAATTCCTTGAATCTTTCAATTTTCTCCATATCAAAGGTGAAATTACCCCTAACGGTACCGACCCCTATGGGTGGCTCACAAAGGCTGACCTTTACTTTCAAGCAAACCTCACTCCTGCACAAAAACTCAAATCGGCTCAGATGTGTATGGATGGTGTAGCCCTAAATTGGTTCACCATCTTATTGATCAAACACCCACACACCGATTGGTCACAATTTTGATCCAAATTGTTGACTAGATTTAGTGGTACTAGGTTCCACAATCCCATAAAGCAATCAACTCACTATCTGCAATCGGAGGAGCAGACAATCAGAATGTTCTTGCCTGGCCTACATAATGACATCCGAAACTAGGTATGAACATTGAATCCGGATACATTTGACCAGGCGATGGATTTTGCTCGTCATGTGTGCCTAGCCACCGCCTCACAAATCGATCAGTCCAACTCTCGGAGAAAATGTCCACCCGGATCCACTACATATTCCCACTCTATAACTAATTAGCGGAACCCATTACTTAATGACAAGGCTTAATCTTAACCCAATTTACTAAACTCAAAACCAATTAGCTCATCTATCCTTTCGTCCACATCACACCGTAATCACCTTTCTCCCATAACATCGACACCTAAATCGTTCCCAGCAACACTCGCCACCTCACTAAAACATAATGGGAGGATCATTGCTATCGGGGTCTGTGTTTCAACTCCAGACAAATACCCCATCCCCATTGTAGAAAGCTACGGTGTCACAAATACATCATCCCCATTGTAGAAGAACTACTTGATGAATTTCAAGGGTCCATGTTCTTCTCTAAAATCGAATTGAATTTGGGTTTTTACCAGGTTCGAGTCCGCAAATCTGATGTCGAGAAAACACCATTTCACACTCATGATGGCCACTATGCGTTTCTTGTTATGCAGTTTGGCTTAACAAATGCTCCGACTACCTTCCAAGCCCTTATGAACGATATATTCTGACCTTTACTTCGCAAGGGCATCCTTATCTTTTTTTGATGAAATTCTAATTTATAGTCCTGAATGGGCTCACCATTTGAACTTACTCAACTCTGCTCTTTTATTACTTCAACGATATGCCCTTGTCATCAACATGAAGAAACATTGTTTTCGGAATCAACATAGTTGAATATATGGGATACATAATAAGTAGCGATGAGTATCAATGAATCCATCCAAGATCCATTCAGTTATCGACCGACTCCTCCCAATGTAAAAAGTGTTTGCGGGTTTATAGTAATTACTGGTTATTACTGTAAGTTTATCAAGTCCTATGGTAAAATAACTCAACCCCTCACATAATGTAACACCCGATCCTTACAGGTAAATTCCTTTCTTTATATTTAAGTCTTAATGTTGGATTTTGATCTACGTAGGGCGTAGATAGCCTTCTACGCGCTCCATAGAAGGGTATATTGGAGACGGGGTTTTAATGATCTACGCTGGGTGTAGATCTGAGTACGCAACACATACTTGACCAGAGCCTAAACCTTAATTTTAGGGTTTTGAGCCCTATTCAAGGGCTCTAACTCTCTTGAGGCCCTTCCATTATCAACCTCCATCCCCCAAACATTCCTTTTGAAACCCTAGTCCCATTTTGGTGTATTTGTGAGCTTAAGAGTGTGTTTGTGTGCTTTTTAAAGAAAGAAGAAGGTGTTGGAGTTTCTTAGAAGCTTGAATCAACTTTGGATCCAGAAGTTCCTTCCCCTCATCCATCTTGAAGAGGTATAAAGTCTCCATCTTGATGAGTTTTTAGGATAGATCTAACTTAGTTTTAGGTTTTCATGCTTTGGTCCCCATAACCATGGTGTTTATGAGTAAGAGCTACTCTTGACCATTGGAATGTCATTTCTAGACGTTTTTAGGATTGATAAGTTAAAAAATTGAGAGCTTGGTCACTCTCATGTTGGGTTTAGTTCAAAAATAGTTTCATAAACTAGAAAAATATGGCAATGGAAAACTTTAATTTTTTGAAATAATATAAACATTTTATACTCACCAATGATCTTCTTGCAAGTTATAGAAAGATTAAAACACCAACCATAGAAGGATGAAGAAATAACAACCTTTGTAGTTCTTTGGGTCCTCTTAGGAGGCTTGGAAGTTGATGAAGAATGTGGAACCTTTGAGACACCAACAATGACTCAACTTGATGTAGATGCTAGTCCAAAACTCTTAAACCCTTAACCTTTAAGTTCATAACCAATATGAACTTAAAGAGGGCATGAAGATGCAAGTGTTCTTCTGCTCAACAACATGTCAACACACACACGTACAACATACCATGGGCGACGAGGCACGAATGGCAGCAACGTTACGCCTACGGCCGGTGTCGTTGGAGGTAACAACGACTTCTTCTTCAATCGAGACGATGCATCAGTGTAAGAATGGAGAAGGAACGTGGTGACCGCGAACGACACCAACAACGACAACGAGACGGACACCCGTTGGTGGTCTTCGTCGTCACTGGCAATGGAACAGCAACAACGATGTGTGGCAGAATGGTCGTCGGCTGATGACGATAGTTGAATGGAGCTTCGACATGTCGGAAAGGAAGGAAGTCGGGTGGTCGCTAATTGGTCGGAGAATGACTAGGTGAATGGTGTCTGCGGCTGGAGGGAGTGGGAGACATAAGTTTGATGGAGGGTGATTTTAGGGTAGGGTTAGGGTTTGGACGGGGGTGACGGGTTATATACCCCGATCCCCCATAAGCTTATTTCCATAACGATGGAATTAGTCCCTCCTTTCCCTTTTTCTTTCAAACTAAGTCCATAATTTACCCTTTTAACCCCTGCCATCCAAAATGCCTTCAACTTAAGTCCCAATAATTACCATGCAGCCCCTCCCTCTACAAATTATTTTCAACTGAAGTCCTTATGTTACCAAATGGCCCCTCCTCTACAAAACCTTTTCAACTTAGGTCAAGAATTTACTCTTTAGCCCCTGCTTCCATAAATCTTTTCATATTAAGTCCAAATGATACCAAACACCCCCTGACTTCTGAAAATCTTTACAAAATAAATCCCAAAATTACACTTTAACCCCCGAATAATCCAAATTATAACATTTGGCTCCCCAAAGCCAACACCCCACTAAATATTATGGATCTTAGGGCTACTATTCAATTTTATCTATTTATTTATTTAACAAACGGGGTGTTACACAAAAGGATAAAGTTGCCAAATTTATTGTTTATGACGTCCCTACAGAGCTAGACCTGGAGTTGGACGTTAGGTGTTAACGAATTAATACCTTAAAGGAAGGTTTTGGCCAACTAGGGCGTACGCTGAGTATACGTGTTTGGGATCCCGATCCATGCGAAGCCATCGAGTACGCCGTGTGTACTGGTGGTACGGTTAGCGTACTTACCTGGGAACCTCTTCGTATGTGTATTGATTGTTTCTTTTGTGTTATGTTTCAGCATAGTGATGAAACGTGGTGGGGAAGGAGGTTAAGGAGCGGGCATCGAACCAATTGATGAGGGTTAAGCGAATCCTCGAGGCGACCCTAGTGATGTTTGGGTTGATCAAGGAGGGTATCATCGAGTTGATGGAGGATCGCATTCAAATCTTTAAGGCCGATCTGGATGCTAGTCAACACTGAGCCCACACTCTCCCCTTCAAGAATTTCAGGGGATGTGGAGTGCTAGAGCTCTTTGGGGTGAAGGACCCCATTACCACCAGGCGTTGGATTGCAGATATTGAGTGTGCCTAGATGACTAGCTTTTTCCCTGAGGGGTCGAAGGTAAGGTTCACTGCAGGATGTCTGGGGGACCGAGCTCAGGATTGGTGGAGGAGGTTGGCTATACACTAGGAGCCCCAACCAATGAGGCCATGACCTGGTTCCGAACGGAGTTTGCACTGATTGTTGAGGTGACACTTGCTGTTATACCTGCATGTGCTTGTTGTCTTTGTGACTCTTGCTGATATGATTGTATGCTTAGCTATAGGGGTGAAATAGGCCCGATACCTGTTGAAAGAGACCGAAGTGAGTGAAATAGACACAATAACTATTGAAAGATACCAAAAGGGGGGGGGGGGGGGGTGAAATAGACCTAGTTATGTATTGATTATTATGTATGTATGTATGTATGGTATGATGTATTTTGAGGAAGCTCACTAAACTTTGTGCTTACAGTTTTCAGTTTATGTTTCAGGTACTTCCAACTCGAAAGGGAAGGGCTCAGCATGATCGCACCGCATCCGTCCATGTTTTCCGCATTATGTGATTTTGGGATTATGTACTCTGGTGATATTTTTACTATGATACATTTTGGTTGGTTTGACATGATTATTGAATGTTCGAGAATGATTTAAAAACAGAAAGTTTTTATCTGGATTTTAGGATGTTACACCAAATCACATATAGGAGAGCAGTGGAAATAAGTTTGGTAGAATATTCTTATTTAGTGGTGTGGAGATGTAGTATCAGACATGATTTTATTTTCCAAAAAGACCCTTGAACAACTTATTTTCCAGAAAGATCCTTTGTAACGGTCCTGAGGCTTGGGGAATGAGATGCCGTTGTTTGTTCTCATCTGATTATCTTTGAGCTTTCGTTAAGAAATTAACAATCATTCAGCTATTTTGCACTTATTTCACTTTGAATCTCGCATACAGTTCATTATTCATATCTAACTGATTTTGACTCGATATACATTACTAGCTGTTATGATGTTTAAATGCAAGAATAAAAGTAAATTACAAGTTTGGTCCCATGTTTAAGTGTATTTTTTAGTTCAAAAATGTATATTTCTAAAATTTTAGCAGCTATGTTGTATACCCAATTTGGGTAACCTACAATGTCTATTTAACTATGTTATGTAAGTTAATCCTTCTATGTGCAAGGCATATATGAAAGTATCAAAAGCTTTATGAAACACTAAAAATAGGCCAATATTGTAAAATGAGCCAAGGGCATCCAAATTTATAATTTACTCAAACAATTTCTCAACTTTTTTCTTGTTAAACATAGAAAATCAAAATACATCCCAAATCTGTTGTAATAACATTCATATAATTAAGAAAAACAAACAATTAAATAGTCAAAAGAGGGAGAGAAGCAACAAGGATTTCTGAGGTGAAAATAATTATAATCAAGACTTTGTACACCCACTTCTGAATTACAGTTTTTCAAGTGCAAATTTGGTGGTGTATATATAAGAGGGAGAGAGAGAAAGAGCTGATAACAAAAGTTGTGTAACAAATTAAATTAAAGGATTCCATACTGAGATGACACATTAAACTCTAGACAACCCAAGCTTTCGTTCAAACAGCCGCGTGAGAAGATACACCTGCAGCACACTCGCACCAATCAGAGCTGCTGATTCCACAACCGCTTTGTGCATTGCCCTTTTGCCCATTCCTTCGTTTACTGCAAATATCAAACACATACAAAAATCAAAATACCAGTCGCAGTGAGTAATCATTTTATATATTTATATATATATATATATATATATATATATATATATATATATATATATATATATATATATATTTTTTTTTTCTATTGGAAGATGTTAGATAGAGATTATACTTATCGCTTGTCGATCGGTCTCGGCCTCAAGCCAATGCTGTTCAAACTGAATGTTATATAAAGCATCCTCTAACTTTGATATCTGTTCCAAAATCGGTTTGAAATGATCTGCAAAAGAAAAACATTATTCGACCCATAAAAAAAAATCACCCATTTTGTAGTATTAATTAACTAGTTAAATAGTAAAAGATTCGCTCACCATCTTTTGCATGCTCAACATCGTTATAGAAGTGGCTGGAATGGACATCAAAGTCTAGGGTTTCATGGTAGGGTGATTTGTTGGTGAAGCAGAATTTATAGAGGCCTTCATTATGTGCCACGAAATCAGACTTGTCACTTGTCTTATCACGAAAATCTTGAATTTGTTCACCCTTTGGCCCAGTCACCTAATCACAATATATTATATTATATTATTATGGTCACTAGGCAATCAATATACTGCTAAAGGTACTACACGGGTTTATATAACAACAAACACCTTACATGTACATGTCAGCAATAATTTAGAATGAAACAACCAATTGCCAAGTCTTTATGCAAGTGTTTCACTTTTTAGGTTAAAATTATGACTTTCCAAATGTAAAAATACTACGGATATGAACTGTATATATAATTTCTAATCTTTACTATTTTTCATCAAGTTTAATGTAGCTATGAGAAAACGTAAAGATCCACACCAAAATCAAACCTGAAGATAATCCTGCTTCACCTCACAAGCCAGACAGTATCGTTTCTTGTTAAAAAAAAAATCATATCTTATAGTTTAATCCTATTTCGATTAACAAAATGATAGCAAAGAAATTGAAAGTATGTTGTTACTATGAGTACAATTTAACCCTTTCCACAAGCTATAAGGCAATAACATGTATGTTATCAAGAAATATGCTATTGAAACCGATCGTTTCATACCAGTTTTTTAGCGAAAGTCTTGAATTGCATTACATGATCCGAAATTTTAATTCTATTATAAATAAATAAAAAAAAGCCTCTTTGACTCAATACTTAATCAAACCCCAAAACGTCAATTTTGACTTTCAAACAGTCAAAATTGCCAAGGGATTCGCGTAGTCATGGAGAAAAAGAAAAGATCTGGAACAATTAACAAACAAAGATTTGAGCCTAAGAAACTAGAATAAAAACATCCCCGTAATCATCGAACTTAACGAATTAGGTTTCAAAATTTATTATTAAAGGTCCAGGAATGCGATGAGTAAAAATTAAGAAGACAAGGAGAGATGAATACCACAAGATCGACGCCATCTTCGTTATAATGCCACGCACCTTCGACCTTAATGACGACAAACGAAAATCGAACCGTGGCACCGTACTCGGACTTATGCGAAAAACACTCGTCCCTGTCTATAACAAACCTGATCCCGAACACTTCCCCTATGTTCGCCGTCAGAATCACCATAAAGACCGCCGCAATCGCAATCGAAGACATCCGCATCTGAAAGAAACGCAAACAATTCAGTTCAAGGAAGCAATATCTGAAAATTTCGCTCCAAATTAAGGATTGTAATTGAGAACTGTAAGAGCAACAGATCAGTAACTGGTTTACCTTTGAATCGTTTCGGATTATGCGTTGGAATACAGATACGATGAGGATGGAGCAGAAGTCGGAACACACGACCGAAGTAGAAACAAGTTTCACCCAACTCCAACAGGAAGTCGTAAGTTGTTCTTATGTTTGACGGTTTTATGTGTCAACGAGCCGTAAGTTTGCAAGACTCGGGCTCTAGTCTAAAAGGCTTCTCCGGCCCAACGGATTTGTTAAAAGGTCTTCAAGCCCAGGTTCAAAGTTCAAACTTAAGATCATATCAGGAAAGACAGGATGTAGTGTTGAAAAGTAACTAATTCTTTTATTTTCACATGTCTAATGATACATAGTTACAAGTGGAAACTTGTCTAGTTGTCTGTATGTCTATATAGATAGTTTCATAACATTAAAAAAAAGGGTCTATCACATTGAAGAGTGTAAACATTCTAAGATCGATCATGCATTAAGCTCTTACATCCCAATCTTTCGTTCAAAGAGACGTTTGAGAAGGTACACTTGTAGTATGCTAGCACCGATCAAAGCAGCAGATTCCCCGAGAGCTTTGTGCATAGCTCTCTTACTCATTTTTTCATTTACTGCACCTCAAACACATTTAATCAATTAGAATAAGATATATCATTTATTATTTTGCAAAACTGTTGTTTGGATGGAATAAAGGGTCATCCTCGACATCTCAACTCCAAAAGGACATGGAAAGGAAATTAAGATTGCATTAGAGGTTCACAATAAAACCGGTTATCTAATTTGGATCTTGATGACTTGATCTGATCTCAAACCAGCTTTATTTTATTAAAACCAGATCGACGGTCGACTTTAACCAGTTCACAATCTCGATGTGGAAACAAGGTTACAATTGTAACATGGACAACTTAACTGGTTATGAACTAGTCTAGTCATAGATTGAAAAATTATAAGAAACTGGATTAGAATATTTTTTTGGGGAAAAACTAGTTTGGGGAAAATCGTTTTTGTATTGGTTTTAAAACCGGTTTGTACACATATAGGTTGCAAATAGGTTACTTGTGTGGCCCAAACAAAGGACACTTCGTCATTTTGGACTAGAATTTTGTTTACTCCTCTAAAAAGCTACAATCTTGCATGAAATAAATGGTAACATTGTATGGAATTATTTGGCTCTATAAACTGAGAAGCAAGTCATTGCTTTAAGTTAATTTGTATGTTTCATATATATTCTTGAGTTATGGAGCCTGATTATTATTGTCACAAGTGAGACCTAGTAATAGTTGAGAGATATTGGATCAAAGATTTTGGTGGAGGCTAGAGGCCTCGAGACGAATTTGGTCTCTAAAGGTCCACTGGTTGAGTTTCCATATATCTATTGGGATATGAGAAAAAATTTCTCAATTTATATAGCTCTTAATTATTTTGTAAACCCGGGGTGTTTTTTTGCAGAATATTTTTTGAAAGAATAGAACTTGTCAAAAGAATTGAAATCCAACAAAATTAGAATCCGAAGGTACTAGAAGCTGAAATGTGTTTGGATTACAAGGAATAAAATACGTTTTTGGATTGGTTTGCTATTTTACAAAGAAATTGGAAAATAAATTTTATAATATGACAAAAATACCCTTTATATTTTTTAATAAACAAGACAAAGTTTTATTTAATTACAACTTCTTTTATTGAACTATTCTATAAAATATAAATTAAAAAAATAACTAACATTTCGTAGAACACAATCAAATAGTAAAATATATATTTTTTTTTAAATTGAAATAAAATAATTATATATAATAATACAAAACAAGAAGTCATTTATTATATAATAATATAAACACGTAGATGATATTATTTTTTTTTACCAAAATCTCATATACATAGAAGGATAATTATGAAATTAGAAAAAAAAAAAGATAAGAAACAAAGTGGATTTTTGATGTTTGGGGAATGAATTGAAAATTTTTCATATAGGAAATTAAAAATTAATTATGGAAATTATATTTCATTCCTTTTGTAAGCCAAACATGTTTTGTATTGGAATTTAGTTTATAATTCCTTTAAATTCCTTAGAAATCAAACGAAACAAAAACCCTTTGATGTTTTGGAAAGATATAAAAACCATTACGGATCATTTCATGGACATAATAGAGTTATTAATCGTCTGAACCAACTAATTCTTATTTTTTTTTAATTATTCTTATATTTATTATGTTTTTGTCATTTAAAATCCTAACATATAAAACATCATACTTTTGGGCAAGTCACATTCTTTATCCTTAATTCCTTATACTTTGTTCCCTAGTTTTGGGAAAGAAAGTAGGGAGAAAAAAAATTATATTTTATATTTCCAAGTTAGAGAGAAACGGAAAATTAAATATTTTGTTCAATTTTTTTAATCCTTCCAAATTGGAGAGAAAGTTAGGAGATAAAAGAGAAGTAAATCCCAAAGTAATAAAAGTATTTTAGGCGTGCCATTGAACCCTAGACTTTACTTATGAGAATTTGCAGCTTCCACCACTAGACTCTGGTGGCATAGACTATACTTTTAGGATATTAATATCAAATAAATTAAAGGGATCGTCTTTTGAAAATTTATTTCTTGGAATTTATATCTATTATGTTTGGATAATTGTAAGAATAAGGGTGTTCATTGGTTCAAATCCAGTGGATTTCGATGGATCCGATCCAATCCAATCATTCGTTGGATATTGGATTTTGCCAACTGATCGATCCATTTTAGTATAAAACCGAATTGAACTAGTCCGATTGGATGTTAGATTGGATTGATTTTATTCATTGGATATTTTGATAGGTTAATCCACTGATTATCTATTATTCAACTAAGTTTAATGAATTTCTATCGAATAAAAAAATAAACTATGATAACTAAAAATAAAAATGTACACAATTACAGTAAAAATAAGACTAACTAAGTAACATTAACCTCAAGTCTTCATCTTATTCTTTATTGAATAATTTATAACATTAATAAGATATGTACAAGAATAATGGGTATTTATTGGATTAAAATTGGATATCAAATTGGATTTGATCAGTTTGGTTGTCCATTAGATTTTTAGGATAATCCAATAATCGATCAAATCCGGTTGGATTTTGAAATTTCGCATCCGATCCAATCCAATTATAATTAGATATTCAATCCAATTTGTTGATTTATAATTGGTTCGGTTCCAAATAATTTATGCACACCCCAATATGAATGAAATTAGATTGCATTGTCTCTAGTTATAAGGTGAGAAATTGTCCTAACTTTCTATAGTGTCCGCAAAAGACAAGCCCTTGCCAACAACAAAATAAAATGACTTTTTACTCACAAGAAATGACTATCTTGGTTTTTTTTATTTGGGCATTTTGTGCATATAAGAAGAAACCCATTCAAACTTTACTCACCATAATATTTGTGAACCAAACCACTAAACCACACCAACAAAAACAAAAGTTTAATGAATGCTTTATTAGTTTTGCTTCTATTTAAAGAATAAAAGATCATACTTATTGCATGTCGATCAGCCTGAGCCTGAAGCCAATGTTGTTCAAATTGAATCTTATGTAGAGCATCTCCCAACTTAGATATTTGTTCCATAATCGAATTGAAATGATCTGCAAAACAAAACGTTATTCATTATTTAATTATCTATATATCGTGTCCTATAAAATTGCAATAGCAACTATATATGTAGACATATGCACAAAGATTGACTTTTCAGTTTAAAATAACCATTGTTCTAATTAAATTGCCATACAACTGCTATAGTAATTAAATTGCCAATAACCACTATATTTTGCAGAATAATAGCTTTGACAAAACTGTGGAAATGCAAATGTAAGGACCACGATACTGGGATTTTTACTCAAGTCATCAAGTGTAGTATTGTTTTATAACATCGTTTTGTTTGTACGTAACAACCCAGTAAGATGGTTCAAAAACTTGTTTCACAGTGTATGTTGCAAATGGTCAAACCATTATAGTAAAAAAATTAACATAACGCGAACAAGACATGCAAATATTATGGACAATCCCGATGACTAAGTGACAGCTAGCTAGGTATTGTTACATAGTGCAAGAAATCTCCCATGTAATACAAACAAGTCAAGGTCTCACCATTTTGTGCATGTTTAACATCTTTATAAAAGTGGCTAGAATGGACATCAAAGTCTACGGTTTCCATGTAGGGCGATTTGTTAGAGAAACAGAACTCATAAACGCCTTCATTATGCACAACGAAATCAGATTTGCCACTTGTTTTCTCACGAAAATCGTATATTTGTTCACCCTTAGGTCCCTTCACCTAATAATCACAACATGGTTTATGGTTACTAATATGAGTAATATCTATGCAGAAAATCATATTATGTGATAAATATTCATTAAGGAACCAAAGTATGTAACCGATAACAAATCATAGTACCAGAAGCTAGTAAAACAATTAGAAATTACACAAGCCTTTAAAATATCAAATGACCAATGTATGTGTTAAAAAGCAAACGTGATCACATGATACAACTATTTCTTCCAAGTGTTGATTATCGTTTCTGAAAACTTATATGGTACGTTGGTAACCATGCCCTTTAATAATTTTCTAATACATATTTATAAATTGAAAGATATAATAAGTCATACTTGACGAAATTAGTTAAGGTGTACTTTTCTAATAATACCGGCGATGTAATAAAAGCATCTCTAAATCAGAAGTTTTTTTTAAGGGAAATTGAGTAAGCTAACCATTTTTTTCGTGTATCTTCTTTTAATATATATATATATATATATATATATATATATATATATATATATATATATATATATATATATATATATATATATATATTTGTAAAATGACCATATTCTCCGGAATGGGCTGTTCCGGAAACAAATTCGTAATTGTTTTCTGGTGGGCCGACCTATCAATTTTCCTCTGGAATGACCATTCCGGAGTATCCGTACTTATTCCGAACTAAATTTTTGAATTTCAAATTCCGGAATATATTCCGAATTCATTATGGATCTCGACTTTTCGATACTGATTTCAACTCTCCGATACGCCACTCCGACTCTTCGACTCTGATTCTGATCTCTGACACGCCATTCCGACTCTCCGATTCCGACACTCATTCCGAACTCCGACTACAAATATGGAAGAAAATCATTATGAACCGGTTGTTTTACGGGTAGGTCCTTTACTCCCACTTAAGTTTTTTATTTATATTTATATCCTTTGGGATGAACTAATTAACAACGTTTTCAAGTTGCAATAAAAGATTCTAGTGCATTAAGATCAACCCAAACCTACTTTAGTTGTTTATATAATGCGTTTATTCATTGAAAAGTAATGTTCCAGAACAAGAAAATATATTTTGGAATTCGAAGAACACCTCTGGAAATGAACTGACCACGTTCTGGAATACAAATAGATGATGTCAGTGCATTAGGACCATCCCAAAAGTAGTCTAGTTATTTATATAATGTTATTATACATCGAAATATATTGTTTTGGTACATAAAATTTCATTCCGGAACGATCTTGAATGTGAGGAATTGGTCCGGAACACGAGGAATTGATCCGGAACATTGAGAAGTGTTCAAAAATTTGGCCGCCACTTTTTGTTTCCGAGTTGGTTAATAACAATTTTTTATTTGCAACACGATAAGGTTTTTGATGCATCCATTACAATGTCTTGTAAACCCAAACCCTGGTGCGGATGTTCTTGCGGAAATCAAAGACAGATCGACATGCAAAACTATGTTCTAAAATTCATGTTTTGGGAGGTGGTTAGACATTCCTAAGGTAGATGGAGGTCCTTTACTTCTACATTACGTGTTTTTCCACACAGTTATCACGAACCCCCAAAGAGAAGTAGATGAAATGGTTTTAGAGATTGGAGGTTACAAGTTGTCTTTCTGGAAGAAATAATTTTGTCTTGTCACTGGCTTCCGCTTTGGAGATTATTTTCTTGCCTCCAATTCTGGCGCCGTCTTCCATTCCTGTGTGTTTCCTGGGACCGAGAGGAATGTCACCATGAAATTAGACGATGTGAAGAATGTGTTTAATCATTCGCTTAATGACTTATCAGACAACAATGCAGTCCGTGTATGTCTTTTATATTTGTTAGAGAAGGGGTTTAATGGGCGGTAACATCCTACTTTAGAGGAGTATTTTGCTTTGATATCCGACCTTAATGAATTTAGCATTTATCATGTCCTTAATTTATTATTATGGATTATAATTAGTTATCATTACTACTATTTTTTACAAAATTAATTAGGAATTTTTTATGTCGCATATATCCATGGAGAGGATAATTTGAGATAAATTATACTCACAATTATTGACTATATTCAATACGGTTGATAAGCTTATACATCCAGTGGAACCAAAGACAAAACAACCTAAAAAATTGACGTACACGGTTTTTTCTACATGCTTTTAAAGTAACATACATAATTAACAATTTATTAGTTATTTTTTGTTTGTTAAATAATCTAATATATGATTCTTTCAGATATAGATTCTTGAGAGTTTTCCTGTGAGGAGTCTCTTTGGTATCCGACAAGCAAATGTGGTCCCTTGAGTTGTTGCATGGTCAAAACCGAGACCTTTACATGCGACTTAGTGCAACCAATTTATAAAAGTCAACAACGTATGGTTACTCATATATATTATAATTATCTTTTATATGTATACTTTATGTTTATTTATAATATTAAAATTTTGTTAGCAGGATAATAGACTTATACAGAAGTTGGAGTCGATGGAAGCTGAGGATCGTGCTGAATGGTGGATAGTTAGCTTGACGTGGAATGATCGCCTTGATTTTCCTGACACAAAAGTTTACAGACCACTTTCCCTAACACCATCACCCAAACACTCCCCTAACCACGAGCCTTGACAAAAGAAAGTACAAATAAATGTTCCATCTTTGTGACAACTAACGAAAATACACTACCGACCGCCGTTAGTGTAACATCCAAAAATTTAAGACCGCATTCTTAAAATAACAAATTAAATAAATAAAAGATGATTTATATAAATAAATCACCAATGAATAATTATATCATTAATTTATATGAAGTTTAGAAAATTATAAGTGAAAATAATAACATGTTAAAAGTTAAAAGGCCATTTTTGGCAATAGGGTGAAACTTAGGTTTGACTAGAGATTTGACCAACTTAATAACTTGGAATATGTTTGTGAAGATTAGGATGAAAATGACCATTTTGGAAATATATTGAAGCTTCTAAGTTAGTTTGGAGTTATTTTAAAAGAGCTTTTGCAAGGAGGGACCAAAAATGGCAAGTTGGGAAAGTTCAAAACTAGTTAATGGTAGGGGTGGCAAATCGGATCATCGTGTCGTGTTTTTTTCTGACACGACACGACACGACAATGTTTTATGTAACACGAACACGACACAACTAGATGCCATGTTTTTTTAACTAACACGAAAACAAACTAATTAAAAAACAACAAACATGACACGACATGATAAAAATAACATAATGTAATAATTAGTTTATTTAATTAATATTTAATAATACATAACACGACAAACATGAAAAACACAAAAAATAAATACTAAATCGTGTCAATTTCATGTCGAATTTTGAACACGAACACGACACGACATCGTAGTTTTACACTTGACACGAACACGAATTCGAATTTCAGTTTCATCCCAATTTTATTTCATTTTGTGTATTTTTATCGTGTCGTATCAACAATTGTCACCCCTAGTTAATGGGTCCCATTTTCTTGGGAAGAATGTAATTGAGAGAAAATAAGAGGGGAATGGCGATTTCTAGGAAGCAAAGGGATATTTAGAGTGGTTGTTGAGGAATCAAACTAGGAATTAAAAATATGACGCAACATCAAGCTTGGGAAGTGTAATTTCTCATCCTCTAACTTTATATTTAGACTTCAAGGTTTTGGGAAAACCCCAATTTCGAAATTAGTTTGATTCCTTTATTAGGGTTTTGTTTTCTAACCTCCCTTGAGTTGTTTTGATGATCGCAATCTCAATATAATAATCATATTGATGGATTTAATGATATGGGTGAAAACCCTCATGAACCCTAGAAATTCAAATTGGTGATTTCATGTTTATATGTTTTACTGGAATGGATTCTATGACCTAGATGAATTTTGGCAACAATAAACCTAATGGGAATGCTTAAACTCATCCATGATGGTAGAATCATGTATAAGCTTGGATTGAAATGGATTTGGGGACAATATGATGAAATCAATAGAATCCTTTGTAGTTGAGCATTTGATGCGTAAAGGAAGTTCATAATCATGAATGAATACTCTGGAATGAATTGGATTCAAAACATAAGGTGTTACTTGATTCCTTGATGGATACATGGAATAATTGGCCTAAAGGGCAATTTGGGAAACATGGAATGGAATTGAGGATTACATAGTTGGATTAGGTATTTACAATAAGATTAGTTATAAATTTATGTACTTGACAACTTTCATATGATTATTCAACAAGTTAAGAACAAGTTTTGTGGACTTTGGAATGTTCAAGTGCAAAATGGACTAATTAACCCTTCATTTAATGTTTAAGGATCATCATGATATTAAAGGTTTCAATGAGCACTTATTGGATTAAGTGGGGTGTATTTTGATGATAAAACACCACCTAATCATGTGTGAGAACCTATATAAGTGGTGCAAAGTGATGTGGATAAGTGTCTTCAAGAGTTATGTAAAGTAGAGTGTTATTTTAAGAATAAATGAGTTAAGAAATGGTACAATCATGTGAATATGGCCCGTGTTATTTTAGCCTAAATCAACACAGCCTGTGTTCCACCCTGTTAAAGGTCAAATTACTTTTCTCATAACTTTTTCATACGAACTCGGATTTACGCACGATATTTGCCTAGGTTCATATTGTTTCATAAGGGACAAGCGAATCAAAAAAATTTAGTAATGGAACCTTTGAGGAGTATTTTGGTCATTTTCATTGACCTTTACTTACTTTTCGTATAGGTTGTGCTTGAGAGTGTTGCTCAAAGGAAAAGAACTAAAAGAAGACTAGCTAGCCTACGTATGGTTGAAGTGAGTACGTGTTGACATTTTCCCACTTTTGGGGTACATGGAAAAATGATTTAATTATAATGAAAATTCTTTGATATATGAAATGTTTTGAAGAGAAAGTGTTAAATGTTTTTGAAAAGAATTTTTTGAAAGAATGTCTTGAAAGAAAAAATGTTTTTGAAAGCAAAGAATGTTTTGGAAGAACAAATCTTTTGACAATGTATTTGAAAGGTTTTGAAATATAGATGCTTTAATTATTGATATGAGTATTTTAATACTAACGTATAAAATCTGTAAAGAAAAGAAAGTAATGACAAGAAATGGAAAGTAATGAAAAGGAAAGAAAGTAAAGCAATAATGAAAATTGTTCGGGCCATGATACCTCATAAGAGGCACTAGAGGAATCTACTGGGGTGGCACCTTCCCTTCGCGAAGTAGATGACATGATCAACATGATACATTGGTGGATCGATTCTTTATTTTCACCTCAGCACTGTACTTGGATAGAAATCCAAGGGAATGATACCCTGGTTAATTGAATTTGTTCTTTTCACCTTGGCCTTTGAAAGCATGATGCCTTTATGGATTGATTCGTTCTTTCCACCTTGGTCTTGGAAATGGAAAATGGAAAAGGATTAAATGAAATGATATGATAAGGCATGAAATGGTAAGATATGAAATGATATT